AAATTATCTGAAGGTCCCTCGGGAGCCCCAAGGATGAACCATATTTTCTGGAGATCCCTCGAGAGCCCCCAAGACGGACCAAATTATCCCTCGGGAGCCCTAGGACGGACCCGGTTGTTTGGTGGTCCCTCGGTAGCACCTAGGACAGGCCCTTTTGTCTGGAGTTTCCTCAAAAGTCCCCGAGACAGAGCACATTGTCTGGAGGTTCCTCAGGAGTCCCCGGGACAGAGCACGTTGTCTGGAGTTTCCTGGGAGTCCCCGGGACAGAGCACGTTGTCTGGAGTTTCCCGGGAGTCCCCGGGACAGAGCACATTGTCTGGAGGTTCCTCAGGAGTCCCCGGGACAGAGCACATTGTCTGGAGGTTGTGTTGAAGCGTCTTGAATTTTTTCTAGTGAAATAATTCAAACTGTAACCAAACATCCGGGTGAGATGTTAACATATACTGATTCACTGAAATGATTTCAACATTAATGTCGAAATTTTAACCTGAAAATTTTGTAAGCTTTTGAAGTTCAATACTAATATGATTTTTTTTTCTACAAACAACCCCGCTACTGCCGTCACGGACTGCGTGGTTACTGTTTCAGGATGAAAACCGATCTGCGCTTAAAATTAGATAGACAAACATGATCCAGGGACTTCGTGGTTCTTTTTTCCCTTTGCAAAAAAGTATAACGATTTTTTCTCGGTTTACCGGCGTGTGAGATAGAATTACACTCCTCGCCTTTATGTCTGTCAGTTATGAAAGGTAACAGTACACTCTACAAGGACGGGAGCTGGGAGAACAACTTGATGTTATTCATAATTACAGAGGATATGTATAGACTTTCGTTTTGTTTACTCCTCGCTGCCTTCACCAGACCTTACGTCATAATGTCGTTATAAAAAAAAACTCCATAAAATCTTGTAACTTACCCAAAGAGAAATCATTGAACAAGCAAAATTAACATGATATCGTTGAAATGCGCGAGGTTAAGCTGGTTCAGTTTGAATCATATTTAAGTTAGGCTATTTCTGAAACTACTTTGCCCAACCAACACAAGTTAGTTTAAAATCCATGATGACGTCATGATGCTAATTGGGTCCACATCGTGTCATTTAGTGCATAGCTGATGTAAATTCTTTTCTTTAACTTTTTTTTATTTGCTACTTTTTATTATTACGTTGTTAAAAATTTTCTTCGAAACTTAAAAAATATTCCTTTGAAATACTAACTTGTTACTTGCAATAGATAAGTTATGTTATATACATGTAATGTTAGTTTAAACTGTATTTGTATTGGCAAGTGAAACATGTACATATTGGTGACATACAAAACATAAAGATGATTTGGAAACAAGTACAAATGTACTTATTCTAAGTCCGTCTCATCAATACAGCAATTTAAATTTTACATGTTAACCCTTACACTGACAGCATATGGTGAATTGATTGTAATGTAACTTAACTAATGTTTATAATATGAAACGAACAAGTTTACAACTAAAGGAAGAGAAAATGGAAGAAGAGAAAAGAAAAGGGGGTATATAAAATTAGGCAAGAGTGCATAATTTATAAGTATAAATATTGTAAACATGAATACACTAATTGATGAACATGCAATGTTGACGTCACCAGATACGTTTTCAGGGTACTAAGTATTCAATTTCGTTACCGTGCACGCGACTCCCCCCACTCTCGGGTATCGTCTCACCGACGAATGTCAGTGTTCTGGCAACTTTACAAGCGTATGACAATTATAAAAAAATACCCTCTATAGCCGAGATAGGTAAGTTGGTCAAGCGTGGGCGCGTGTATACAATCGCTGTTAAAGATCGAAAGTGAGCAGGTCGACTCCCCCTACATTTACAAGTTAGTATATCTTAGGAAATTGAGACATGGACCAGTCTGGGCTGTCATGGTTGTGTCTTTAGACAAGACACGTCACCCTTAATGGACGAGATACGACGGGCCTCCCGTATGTTGTGGAGCGTGGTAACCACCAGCTCCCGCAAGGATTCCCCGCCTTAAAAAAATCTGGCTGTTTAAGGGACAACAAACCCAGCTAAGATACACTGAGCAAGTCAAATGTAACGACATAAACAAAAACTTGTCCGTCTTTTTATGATGATTTTAAGTCTCCTACGTCTTTTTCAATCTGTGTCTGTCAGTCTTTCAAACCCATTTCAACTGTCAAAATTCTTACACGTGTTGTTTACTAACAGCAATAAAGCGGTGTGTGTTTTTACTTGGTATGTATCATTTTAGCAAGAGATCTTAAACATGTTTTCTATCAATTGACCTATGCATTAAACATGTTTTAAGTTACTCTACTTTTCATGTTGAAACTGTACAATTGTCTCTATTTACATGTGATTATCAAAATCACAGTCATTGAATAAACAGAGAATTTTACATGAATTTACATTCCTTAGAGACTCACCAGTCTTACTACCGAGATAAAGTGAAATTTCATGACGAGTCTCATGATTTTTATGAAGATTCTGTTGATCACACAACGTATGAAAACAACATTTTATAAGATTCGTATGAAAAAATGTCGATATCTTATATCCACGGCTCGTTTTTTGGTGACGTCACAATGCATATGACGCAATGGCGTTAATACGCCTCGCATTGGGAGTGCCGAACACGAACTTCGGTACTTCACTTGAAGTCAGGTAGACCTATTCTCGACCGACTCGGCTAGCGCTGTCTGTTTTCATTAGTTATATTCCTTTACAAATGTTTTGGCCAGATTAAACGACATATCTATCGAGATTTTAAAAAGGTTGTATCATAAAATTCAATTTATACACTTCAACTGCGATATTGTCGGTTTGTATATATTAAACTGTTAATTTAAAACTATCTCCCGCTTACGCCTACGACTGGGACTTAAAAAATGTTTGCGTGCACAAACTTCTATGATCGCGAGTTTTCATAGCCGAGCCCAGATAGATGATACAGTGAGGGCGATAATAAAGTCTAGCTTTTGGACACAACGTAACGAAAAAATTCATACACAATTATTTATAAAAATCGACATTTACAACGGACTTCTGAGTTCAACCGAAAAATCACAGAAACTTGCAATGGGTGTTATAGATTATAGCGTATCAATAGAACATTAGGTCAATGACATTTCGATGTATTGAAAAAAATTGATATAACTATATCCAACCTCAGGATATTTGGAGATCACGTGATGCCCCGAGAGATAAAGTCCTTACATTTAAAAAACATATTTCTTTTTTTATTTCTTTTTTAAGGTCTAACAAGTTTGTACCCAAATAGTATGGTGTACATGCCCATCAGGAAGTGTTACAATCTATTAAACAACATGTATTCCTGTGGTCTATGTATAAAATTTCAAGTAATTGACACTAATCAAACACACTTAAAACATTGATTCATAAACATTTCGTAACGTGTGGTTGTAAAATACAAGTAACCGGGTACACAAATCTCCTGGCGATCTAGGAAGTGTTGGGCCAAGCTGATTGGTTCACTACACTCCAAGTATCAAGTTAATTTTCTGACGTGGTATCTAAAGGAGCGTGTTCAAATGTCGAATTCTAGGTTTAGCGGAAGAGAATTCGAATAGAAATCAATTCTTGATATGTAAATGAATAACATTATAGACTGGCTCGTATGCCTTCCGTCATCAGATTAAAAAAATAATTCAGAGACGAGTGTTGTGCAAACTCGAACTTCAAGGCGAAGTTTTGAAGAGGTCCTTTGATTATTTTGCCGATGCTAAATGTTTCGACTTTAATACTGATACATGCTGACAACAATGACTCACATTTAACAGTGGATATTTTCATGTGTGTTGTAAATTGTATGCCCCCCTCCCCCACCCTCCTTTCCCACTCCAGATACAAAGTCCGGTCTGTCGAAGCTCGTAACATATAATTTTACAGCACTTACCAGCCTTGTCAAACTACAACGTGTTGTCATTAATGTGTATTAAACAACTTTTCGAAAAATATACATTTAAGGATGTTTGTGATTGATCATGAGGTCTGGGTATAATTTAGGAATAAAGTTAAAATTTTATCTCTGAAATTACACGTAAATAAATTTTCATTGCGACATTATCTCAATTCTACATTTAAAAAAATTACAATTTTACGTTTGGTATTTTTCTAACAGGTTTAACCAACTTCCTGAATAACAAGAGAATTTCAACTCAACTCGCATGGAACAAGTTATACCAGTACACGATTTTCATGAGGGAGATAACTCGTGTATAATTATCTCCCTAGTTTGTTAAATATCCAGAAAGAACAATATTGCGAGAAAAAACATAATGGACAGTAGTTGTGTTAAACTGGTACTCGCCTAATTCAGGGTAGATTCCTGAAACAACATCAGGCCCCACCTGTATAAAACATCTCAACTTGAGATTTCTTCAAGTCGAGATTTTCCTCAGCTGATATCTCCTCAAAAACGGCTTGTATGAAATTTTCTCAAGGAACAGGAGGAAGGCATCGTATAGGATGTCCTGAAATTCCTTAATGAATTTTCATACAAGATATTTTCAAGGAGATATCAGCTGAGGAAAATCTCTACTTGAGGAAATCTCAAGTTGAGATGTTTTATACAGGTGGGGCCTGGCTTGCAACTGTCGGGGAATGTGTTATACACAACATTGACAAGGTGTCAATATTTTGTTAATGTGTTGTGGATTAATACTGTATGATATGATGTATTATATAGGTACTATTATATTACAGTCAAACCTCGTTATCTAGAACTCTTATAACTCGACGACACTGTATAATTCGAAGTATTTCGTCGTTACCGGCTAAACATTGTATACTAATTCCATCGAAAAATCGAATATCTCGAAGTTTTAACAGTCCCAATCTTCGAGATAACGAGATTCGGCTGTACATGATTGTAAATGTCTACTTTCCGATGAAACACTGAATCTGAACGTGAGCTTGTTGTACATACGAGCATATCCTATCCGACCCCGTAATATAATCTAGTGCAACAGTGAGTAGCTTACCTTCTTTATTTGGAAGGCTTCTTTGAATTCTTTAAGAGTTATGTGCCCTTTTTCACCGGCGATCTTTTTGAAGTGGACAGTAATCCACTCATACCATCTTAGGTCGTCCATTCTGAAATAATAAAATACATGTGGATCTTTGATTTTTATATAAGATATCTACATTATAATACACAGATTAGGTACTAATCTAAAAAAAAACTTACCAATATTCAGGGATTTTACCTTTTTGGTATAAATCGGGAGTAATTTGTTTTGCACATTAAAAAAATGGATGTGAAAGTCCCTTTGGAGGTAAATTAGATCGGATTTGTTAACTCACCACTTTTCTCGTTGCGGACAATCGACGCCATATGTAGATTTGGGATGTGCAATCCAAATTACGCACGAGGCACACTAAATACGTTTTGAAATAACATCCCACCCCCACCCCACCCCACCCCCACCCCCCCCCCCTCTCTCTCTCTCCCCCCCCCCCGCTCTCCCCCTCTCTCTCCCCCTCTCTCTCTCCCCTCCCCCTTCTCTCTCTATCCCTCTCTCTTTCCCCCCTCTCTCTCTACCTCTCTCCCCCTCTCTCTCTACCTCTCTTTTCCCCTCTCTCTCCCCTCTCTCTCTCCCCTCCCCCCTTCTCTCTCTATCCCTCTCTCTTTCCCCCCTCTCTCTCTACCTCTCTCCCCCTCTCTCTCTCCCTCTCTCTTCCCCTCTCTCTCCCCTCTCTCTCTCCCCTCCCCCTTCTCTCTCTATCCCTCTCTCTCTCTACCTCTCTCCCCCCTCTCTCTCTACCTCTCTCTTTCCCCCCTCTCTCTCCCTCTCCCTCTCTCTCCTCCCCATCCCCTGATATAAGCGTTTATTCTTGTACAATCAAGAACTGGGCTAATATAGATACTGAAACGTTTAATGGATAGATGCAGTGTATGATATAACGTTATTTAACCAATAAATATTCAAAATACATTCCCGCTCATATTTACATAATTTTTCTCTTTGATAAAAAAGGATGGAAATGTTGACACTTTTTACCTTTCAATTTTTTTAATTTACATGTTTTTCTTATATAAGTGTTATTTTTCATAATATAACAATTGTTGATAAATTCAGAATTCTGATTTCAAGAAAGATAAACATTGGTGTGAATATCGGGACTAAATCCCCTTAACTACTGCACTGCATTTTATCTATTGAATTACGTTGATAAAACTGATAAGCTTGAGATGAATATCACCTGTCTCTTTGTTGTAATAAAACCATTGTAAAGGCAAGCTTATGTAAATATTATGTTTCAGGCCAGGCATAAAATTTTAAAATCACAGAAACCCTGTTAGAAGGTTTCCTACTACATTGACTAAGTTCTTGTGATACACGACCCCAAGTTGTAATTCTACACTTACAACAGTCTGAGATTGTTAACATGTTTGTTATCTCTACCACAATGTCACAAACAAACAGATGTTTAGATTTTTCTGTTAAACGCCAACAATTGGAAAGATGTAAATAATGATATTTGTATTTCCCTGTTTAGACGTTATCAATAATGACGTTTTTAAACCTTTAGTTTTCTGATATTTCATTTATCATTTTTAATTATCTCTCGATGAAGATATTATCTGATCTTTACATATACTATTGTATTTGGCATTGTAGCCTTTGTGGTGTTCATTAACATAAATAGATATTGACAGTCTCTCTCGCGCGCGTAGGGATATAACGTTATGAATGAAAGACTCTCGCGTAACGTCATCGTATCACACATAGCGTTTTCAAATGCTTCCGCGAAATGAAGTCTGTTTGAAATATAGTCCTTATGCAGATCTTGCTAAACATTTGAGGTTTCCTTAGACGGAATATTAATAGAATAAAAGTTTGAATTTTATTTTAGGGAAATCTATTATGAACAGACATGTATGTAAAATATATGAAAAAATGTCGGTTTTGAGGCCGTGGTATCAAAAAGAGTGAAAAATAGACATTTCTATGGTAGTAGTTGTAGTTGGCCAATTAGAATGTTTTCGTTCTTGTTGTGTCTATAAAATTTGAAATGGTTAGAAAAGAACACATGTTTTAATGAAGAAAAGCGGTGTACAAATAAGGGCTCACTTTTTATTTTGTTTATAACATCGGGAAATGACTGTAATTAAACTCGATAAATTTTACGTAATTTGTTTCAATCCCTAAAAGGTACATATTACACCTTTAAATTAATACTAAAATGGTGCTAGATTGATTTCGTCCTGAGGTCAGGTACCATGTATATTTTGTTTTAAACACTTCTGACATAACGGTCTTGCGATCTAAATAAATCATTGAAACAACGTCAGTATTTGTATATAACCAATATCAATAACAAAAGCCAATGATATGGTGCGGAGATTACACGAGTTTTTTTTATTAAAATCATTTATAGTGTACTACGAACCACGAAAATAAACTCACTGATTCATAAGATATCTTTTAATATTGCATTAGGCCTAGTTGTTATTGTTCTAGTCATCCATATACCATTTAATCTAAAAGTAATCAGTGATTTATTTTACTTATTTCATTAAAACAATAACATGATATTAACTCACCCGTCTGGTATGGTTGAGTCCCGATTGGATGAAGAAATGCCATTCCCTCCGTTGACCTTTGTGCGCAAGGTCGGACTTTCTACAGTAACGGTCACCGGGTCGTCATCAATACGTACTCGGAACTCACCACCACCATTCTCTTTACCTTTATTTACATTGTTTATTTCCTGTATTCGTACAGCTTTATTGTCTTCAGGAGAACCATTCGGAACTACTTTGGGAACATCGTCCTCGTGCATGTTGTCGTCCAAATCCGTGATTTCGTGTGAAATATTAACATTGACGTTCACATCGCCGTTATCGTTGTGTTTGTAATTTCCTGTGGAAATAGTTCCTAAGTCGTTTATCCTATCGTTTTTGTACTCGTCAGCAATGCTGTGGCAACTCACATTATCTCCATCATTGCTCAAACGGTCGTCATTCTCGAATGCAACATTCACCATGCCTGTGTCGACTTTAGTGTCCGCACCCATATTACTGGTGAGTGCATTCCCTCCAGAATCCATACCGAAATTGTCTGTTGTAGAATCCATTTTCGTTTAACTGGCAAAGAAGTAGATTTCTAATCTAATGTAACATTGCCTCGTCTACCTGGATCACCTGGAAAGAAAAAAAAATAATGCAATATTTTTTCAGAGTAAGATGATTTTCACTAATGCTAACTGATATATCTGTTTTGTCTGAAACAAAAACAAAAATAAAATTCAAAAAGAGATCAGAAATTTAGTTTATAGATCAAGACACTTGAAAAATTTCTTCAGTAATTTTATATATTTTGATACAACTGTAGCGCTATAATTCAAAGCTGTCCACATACCAAGCCGTTTTTGGACAGCGGATAAATATTCGCATCGGACTTCCATCAACATTTCAACATAACAGCCAATTCAATTTCAAATTTTAAAATAAAACATCAACGCAAAAACATGCTACCGTACATTAATTAGAATTGTTGATTTCAATGTAATAAAATACATACACTTAAGTTGGAATGTCACTTGTCTATCTACATACATACAACGGGACAAACATCCACCTTAGACAGAGTAGTTCATAATACCGAATTTGTGATCCGTGTATAAACACCTTTCAATAAGTCACGTGATTTAATGTACAGGTAATATTGCGTCACGTGATTTACCGGTAACTCGGGAGTGTGTTTTGTTGATAAGCGGAATAGCTTTATTATCAGGATCAGGAAGAGGCTTTGTGAGGTTCAGTTGTGTCTGACGTAGGTGTAAACACTCAGCCCGTCACATAGAAATAATGCGTCCTGATCATTTGATAATACAACATCCGGGTTTACAATATGCAAAATGACATATCGAGTCATCGTATATTTATTAAGTTAAAAGTTCTTATACTAATAACCAGAAAAACACGATACCATAGTCATATTCGTTATTTTTTGTTCTTCACAAACCGAGCGATTTTCACCTTAACGTTTTAATGTAAACATATTTTAACAAAGGTCGTTCTAAACGTATAGCTTTATACAAAATGACCAGTTATATTTCCTAATTCCATTAGGATGTGAAGGCATTTATCTTATTTCATGGTCGATCTCCGCTCACGGCTTTTCAACATTGCGGCAGACAAGAAAAGATTGGAATGTGAGTAAAACTAGTTTCAAGCGTTATTATTTTCAAATGCAATACTGCATGTAGGTACAAGTGCATTGTGTACGTAATAAAATGATCCAAATTGATATATATGTACGAGTAACTCCGTTTGTGAAAATAGACAGCGGGCGAAGGAGAAGTTTTGTACTGTTCCTATGCCATAATACAGTACTTGAAAGGTTGACTCCGTGGCCTATTGTCGCCTATTCCTGTACGCTTTTACTTCACCTTCTTCAGCGAAACTTTGAATGAAATGAAAGTCGGAGTTGGTGGTGTTTGTGACCGGTGATAGCCATGTTAAAATCATTTACTTAACCTTCTTCAGCGAAACTTTGAATGCAATGAAAGTCGGAGTTGGTGGTGTTTGTGACCGGTGATAGACCTACAATCAATAGATAATGACACTTCAGCGTGTTTCGTGTCCAAAGAATTTTTTGAAATCATTTCTGATAATGCTGGGTTTTTTTTATCTATTTAGTTTAATTTCAATATATTTTTCTTTTTTTATGTTTTAATGATGGAGCCAGTACTGAATGGAAACATTTTTGAATCAAAGATTTCAATGAACCGTGTATTTTACAGTCCAAGACTACATGTCACAATTCGATAGCCCTTCCTTTCGTACATCTGTTAAGTTGAGACATCACTCTGCAGCTACTATTTAGTCGCCTCGTGTCATCATGCAATGATATGCAGCCGATAACTAAACCTTCTTCCGAGGCCATGATCAGAAAACGTAAGTCATTAAATATAAGTGTTTATTATGAGGTACATTGCTTATCCTCAATATTGCGGGGTAAAGAATCGGGTCTTTCTTTTTTATTTCAAATAAGACAAACGCTAAATTAGATCTATTAGAATACTGGTCTGCAAGCTATCTTATTAATGATAAATAATATTATATGTAATATATCATATTTTACAGCATAAAGGAAATAACTCCATTCCGGGATTTAGTTGTTTTTATTTTTAGTTAGAACGTGTGTAAAAATCACAATTCAGATTGAGGCTAAATATCATGATGTCTTCTGTACTTTGAAAGTTTCAACTAACGTTTCATTTTAACAAGGATATAATTTTACATCCAAAGCACACTACAATATCTAAAACATACGGGAAAAAATCAGTTACTGTTTGTAAAGTAAGTTTGTGCAATATACATGTTTGTCAACTTTTTTATCGGTCATCATCACGTGTATTTTTTTAACTTTATTTGAGAACGTTGAAGTTCATATTACACGTTTCTTAAAACGTGACGACGAAAGCTGGTAAACTGTTTTCTGACACACAGCGGACTTACTCCGGCAAGTTACACGCCTGCCGAAAAGACCAAACATTCCCGATTGCTGACACCAATTGACGTAAAGCATAACGTCATCATTCGGTGTACTCCACTTGTTGTGAAAAAACATAAATCAAACAAATAGGATAAAGACTACAACAGATTTTTTTTTTTCGGAAATCTCAAATCGGTAAAAAGTGAGAGTTAATGACCACATTAAAATATAGCGGGATGGAACCCCATCTTGCTTATCTGACCCTGACGCTCTGCATTTTGAAAAACTACATGAAGCAATAAAATTGATTTGCTGAATTCCTGAATCAGAAATTAAAGCGTTCATGTATTTTGGCCTCCTAAACGCCAATTTCCAAAACAAATCCTTTCGGAACACTGTATTTAGACAGGTCAGATAGGCCGTCTGTGCGGGCCGGCTGTACGCGAATGTCACTCGTTCACGTGTCTACACGGGCAATTGGTTTTCGGAGCGTCTCTCGTGTTAACAAGCTAATAGTTCCAGGCCACAAAGGTAATCATGTAGTCCTTATGTTCATTACGTCCCTTGTTATATCGTCCCCACACACATTCACTTTAATCATATTTATAAAGAAAAATGAAATTGATACACATGGTGATGAGATAGGAGATATTTAACAGCCGGAAAACTTCATTTAATGAGCAGATGAGTTGACATGAAGGGTACATACGGACAAATACATTTTATCTCTGTGGATATTGTGCTACATTTGTCAAAGCACATCGCGTTCTGTATTTCATCATTTGAAACACATCAGACCTGAATCACGTGACTATCCAGCGAAACGACTTGGACTAGTCCCAGAAGTAAGGACTATCAAATATCAGTACATTTCGACAGAGTATGGTAATTTGACTATTGCCTGACACAAGCGACGCAGATTTTAGAGATCTAAATACGTCCTTGGTATTGCTCCACTTGTGTGCATACTTGTGTATGTCTCCTCTGATCGGCTGTTTGTGTTCCGCATCGCTTGTATCACACGAGAGAAGAGTGACTTAGGTTCTGTTTAAAATATCAAATATTGTGATTGTTCTAATTTTCAGAACTATAACAATATTTCAATCTCCATCAAAAATGAAAAGGATGTTAAAAAAACCAATATAATGTTTTCGTTTTAATTTATGATGAAAACACTGTCACCTTTATTATTACAGACATATTTCAGATAAGTTTACAGGTGACCTGAATAGTGTTAGTTTTGTGCACCGGTATATAAACATTGCTGGTAGAGTGTGTTGCTCCCTTCCAGCCGTCTGTCTCTTTCCCCGTCACCCCCGACCCCACCACCCCACCCCACCCCACCCCCACCCTCTCAAACCACCACCACCTCCTCCCTTGTTCAAATTACCTTTACAATAGCTACAAATATACACCAGTTGTTTGAAGTTCCTAGACATATGTGACCTCATTGTCGGACATTGTGGAATTCAAAAAAAATTACAATGTGTTTATCAAAACTGAGACAGGCTTCAAATCCAGAACTTATGGAAAGTGATACAGGCTCCCGACATATTTAGGATACACGCTACCATATCAAATCAACTTTTTTTTTAAAAATGCACCTAAGATTTTCGTGAAAATGTCGCCATGTTTATTTTTAGAATGGCATTCGATAGCTGTAAGTAATATGAATATTCATGAAGACAATATTTGAATTCTCTTTAAAAGGCGATCACCTCTTCATGGTTAAATAGTACTTTTGTTACTATATCAATAATATGCGTGTTGAGTTCTTATCAAAAGGGTTTTTATCAAACATTTAAATCTTTCTTCGTTTCTCAATTTCGACAACAACTTTCGTTGATTTCATTTTAAACTTGACAAGTGTTTAACATAATCAGACAATTCATCAATCATTTAATTTCCATTTGAGGTCTTTTGAAATTTCAAGTGCGGGAATTCATTTGGAATAGCTGATTGAACATAACAGGCTTAAAAGTTTCTAACATGCTGATGAAACATGGTCTAATGAAATCGCCATTCTCATCATCTACTTGAAATGAGTTTGGTGGTGTAAACCACACAGATATGTACATGGAAACATATTAGGAAAATTTTGGAAGTAAATATCCAGACTTAACTGTGAGAAAAGGACTTCAGACATCTTTACAATGTAGAGATGCGGTAGGTTTACCACGGGTGTTATTTAGGTGCGAATCTAGAGGTCACTGTACGTAAACTACATTAACAGAGGCGTTCCGAAAAGACTTCACGAAATCAGACAAGGGAAATCGCATTAATATTAACAGGGGCGTCCCGAAAAGACTTCACGAACTCAGACAAGGGAAATTGAATTAATATTAACAGGGGCGTCCCGAAAAGACTTCACGAAATCAGACAAGGGAAATTGCATCAATATTAACAGGGGCGTCCCGAAAAGACTTCACGAAATCAGACAAGGGAAATTGAATCAATATTAACAGGGGCGTCCCGAAAAGACTTCACGAAATCAGACAAGGGAAATTGCATCAATATTAACTGGGGCGTCCCGAAAAGACTTTAAGAAATCAGACAATGGAAGGGAAAACTTTTACCGTAATGTAAAAATATAGTTAATTTGCTTACTTTGGCCCGAATGTTTTGCCTTTTTTT